AGCGCAACGAATATGTGATCAAAAGGTGGTATAGCTAGTTATAGCTCGATTTTCATTGAAGATAATCTCAAAATAATCGAGTTTCATTTGTTCTAAAGAATCAGCTCATTGAAATTTTTGGAACTCGTGATTAGATGTGCTCAAAAAAACTAGGGTTTTCTCCCAAATGAACAATTACTACAGACTCCAAAAACTTAATCTAGGTAATTTCAAATGAATAATATGTAGCCAAAGGTTCATTCTATGTACCTAGCAGTCACTACCGCTTTTTGAAATTCTTATACAAGATTTCGCAAGAATGGGAAAAAATTAATGTCATTGTTAGACTGCTTGAGTCATGCCCATAGCATTGCAAGAACTGCATGAAGCATAGAGAAAATTATTCAAGAAAGTAAACAAAGATCCGAATTGATCATGATCAAGTCGGTCAGTCGGTATTCCATAAGTTTGGTGACCAAACAAGGAAACCACAAAAAAGATTGGACGGTCTGATAGATCTAAATCTCCTCTGATTCTCAACAAAATTGTCATGCACGAGTTGTGAGAAAAGTTTAGCAGCAAAACTTTCAGTTAAGCTTTCGCATCAATCAACAATTTAAACCATTATTTAGTACTCAAGCGCGCATTGATGTGTACATGTTTATCCCAAATATGATATTTTGAAACTAAATCAAATGTCTGTCCTTTTGCTAACCCCTCAGACAAGACATTATAATCCCTAAGATGGCCATCGCAAGGGAGGCATACGCTGAATAAATGCAGACAATAGTTGCCAATCACGTAGAGGATCATTTGCATCTGAATTGCATGCCGTAGCGATACGACCGGCTTCTACGGGAGAGGGATAGATTGAAAAAAATCGTAAAAAAATCCCTTAAAAGAGGTAGTTACTGATTCTCATGAATCTCATCATTTTCTTGCAATTTCAGTGTCTCAATATGTCGAAAAATTGCCCAAAATTCCGATATTCCAAAATCTTTTGACAATGAGACTTGCACTTTTCCGCAGATCTAATTTCCATCGGAGATGATTCAACAAGGATTTTTTCAATAGTGATTACAAAGTGCATTGTCAGTCTTACCCCAACTTCCACCCTTTGTTCCGTTACTTCGACTAGATGCGCAAGTTTTCTTGCATTTTCTGGAATTGGTCGAGTAAGTTCTGCTCGCTCAAGTAGTGAAGGAGGTTCCACTACGACCATATTTGAGCGTGACTCCCTGTAAAAAAAATTTTAAAGAAAATCTTCATACCATAAAATTTCCAATGGAAACAAGCTGCTACGTGGACTGACTCGAGAAAAATGCATCATTGAGAGGGGTAAGAAAATATCGAAATTGTTGAGATAACAGGTGGAACCAAGCTCTAAGCGTGC